GCTCGTGGCCTGCCGTAAAAAAGGGGGACTTCAAATACCAGACTCACCTGTCGAGGCTCTGGCGTCCCCAGATCCAGGACCAGCCATGGGCTAGGCCATACCCCTCGGGTGTCGGGGCAGCCCCTTCCTGCACACACCTGACCCCATCTCTGCCTCTGGGCTCTGTTCTGAGCCCTCTCCTGGCTAGCGCAGTGGTCAAGGGGTCGAGGGCTCACCCTGCTCACCCAGGGCGACCCCGTCTGCTGATCCATAATTACACTTGCCAAGACCCTTTCCTAAATAAGGCCACACTCCCAGGTTTGGGGGAGCAGCATTCAACCCACCATAGTCATTCCCTGATCCCCCAAATTCACACCCATATGACATCCAGTCACCCCACCCTACACTCTCTGAAGTTCCAGCACACTGCAGTATCCCCTGCTTGTCCAGAATCTCACCTAAATGTTCCAACCGTCACCCCCGAAAACCACCTGTCACTTAGCCAGGGACAGAGGAGGCTGGAGCTCCATCCTGGGACAAAAGTCCTGCCGGCTTGGACCTAGGATCCAGAAACGAGTTATCTGCTTAAAAACGCGTATGGATGGGCAGGAGCAGGGAACTCACTCAGAGGGGCCCCCAGTCCCCAAGGTGAGCCCCAGCAGGACACAGTCCACTAGGCTTCAAGCTCAGGGGATAGACATCCAGCAGTCCCTACCCGCGGCTGCACCCCTGCGCAGGGTCACTCTGCCCTGTCTGAAGAGAGGCCTGTGGCCTGTGGCCTGAGGACAGAAGTCGGTATGATCACAGCCTCCTCACTCCCTCCACACCTGTCCCCTCACGTCCACGCTGACATCTCTGCCAGTGTGACAGTCCCCGACCTGCAGCTTCCTGAACACACGGCAGAACTTGATGCCACTGGGCCCGAGGATGGGACCCTCTGCACTCCTCCTGTGGGTGACGTGCCTTCAGCCCGGGGACCCCTTCGGTGGCAGGCAGCCAGCCACAGTGAGCCTCTCTAAGGCGCGTGTCCTCCCAGTGGACCCTTGTCTACTGTCCTCTGCCGTCCGAGCAGGCCTGAGGCCTCTCAGACCTTCAGTTCCCATTTCTTTAGCAGGCCCTCCAGCCTCTCTTGGCCTTCTCAGGGGTCGCCACACCATCCGCACCTCAGAGATCTCAGCTAGATACGTCCCCGTCCTGCTGCCACTCCACAGGGGGACACAGCTCAGCCTGGTGCCTGTGGCCACGCCAGGATGCCCTCTTCTCCGGCTTCCAGGCCCACGTCCCACTGCCTGCTGAGCCTGCCCAGGTGCACCTGCGCCAGCCTCTTGGTTAAAGCCCAGTCCTAAAGCCACTTCCACGCCATCTGGTCCACGTCATGGCTGCAGCCGTGTCTCAGTAAGTAAATCCGTTTGCCAGCGCTGACCAAAGACGACCACTGGGGGCCGCCCTCCGTGCAGGAGGGCTGGAAGTCTGAAGCCCATCGGCCATACTCCCCCAAGGCGCTCTGGGGCCCTTCCAGCCAGCTCCTGGTGGCTTGGTTGTCCCTGATCTTACCCCGCATCAGCCACCTCTGCTCCATCCCCCCACCCCAGCATGCCAGTATGCAGGTGTGCCTGTACCCGTGTGTGGCACACATGTGTCCGCAATCCTAAATGGGATTTGGGGCCCACCCAGTGAACCCAGGAACCTCACCCTGAGAGTGCATTCCCGGGCTCCAGGGCATGAGCATGTCTCTGCGGGACGCAGACCACCACTCAACCACTGCAACCCTCGGCCCCAAGGGCCCTTCAGAGATGGGGAGCTGCTTGGGGACAGCCTCAGCATGGGGGCCCGGGAGTGCCTGCGAGCCCACTTCGGGGGGGGGACGAGCTCTCTGTACACCCACCTACACCCAAGGAGAGCAGGCTCTGCGGCTGAAGCAGCAGCAGGTACCACGGGCCTGTGCTGCCAGTTGGGGTTGCTGGGAGGGGCAGGGCCGGGACACCCCCTCCTTGCATGGAGCCACCGGGCCCCGCTGAGCCCCACTCCTCCCTGTGCCCGTCCCTCCCACCCCGGAGCCGGCTGCCCCCAGGGACGGGAGTCTAGGCTGGAGCCGCAGAAGCAGAAAACGACAGCAGCTCCGCCACGTCCAGTGGCCAAGCACATCTGAGTCCCCGGAGTTCCCAGGGCACTGCCCTCAGCAGGCAGTTGGGCCCCAGAGGACACAGACACCCCTGCCTCCACTGTGGCCCGGCCCGGCCCGCGGCTGACCTGAAGGTGAGCCCAGATTTGCTCTTGAGGTTCCGCAGCAGCTCCAGCTGGTTCAGAGGGGGGATGAGTCTGGGTAAGAGAAGGAGAGGCCAGTGAGCCCCCGCCCGGCCTGGAGCAGACCCCCGCTCAGCAGCACTCCAGTGTGCTCCTGGCCTCGCAGGCCCCCGGGGGCCACTCCCATTCCCCCGGCCCAGCACGGACAACAGAGGGCAATGCCAGGCCTTCCCCCTGGCCCTTGTGGAGAGCGGAGAGCAGAGGAGGGCACTGGAGCAAGGGCTGGGCCTCCGCCCACTCCGACCCCGACCTCCCCCAGGGCAGATTCGCTGAGGCCCAGGCCCCAGCAGAGCCTGTCTCTGCCAGTGCTGGAGGTGGGGAGCCCAAGCCGCAGGACAGGGCTCAGCTGGGCCCAGGAGGCTCGCCCCAGGTCTGTAGGACGAGGCCTCACCAAGACTAAACGCCACAGGGACGCTACGAGAGGCCCAGCTCTGCTCCTTGGCCCCTGCCCAGACCTGGCCAACCTAACAGCCGGCCTCTACCTGCCTGGACACTGGGCCAGGCTCCAGGGCCACTCCTGATCACCTGGTCCCCAGCCAGCCCTCGGTCTCCAAGGAAAGGGCCCTTCCCTGACATGACACCAGGCCTGCCTCTCCTGATGCCACCCCACTGTAGGGCCTGCTCAGCCCCACGCACACTCTCCTCCTGTGGCCCCCAGCACCCACACCCCGCCCGCGTCATCTGGGACGGCTCCCCTCTGTGGCCGCTCTTGGCACGGGGTCCTCGACCTGCAGCAAGTCCCCAGCCCAGCCCTGTGCCCTGCCTGACGGTCCCCCAGTGCTCTGCCTCTTGGAGTTACCCTCCCAGGTCATGCCCTACCCCTCAGACCACGCCCACCCACGCCCCGCCACGCCCCTTCTGTGCCCCCCAGGATACCGAGGTGTCGGACCCTCTTGGCTGCCCACTGCCCACCCTCCACTGGCGCCGAGAAGGGCTTCGCTTTGTCGACCTCAGGACTCGCTCAGCCCTGCCGGCAGCGCCGGCAGCTGCAACCCCCCCCGACCCGCCCCGACCCTCTGCAC